ACACTCACAGCAGGAGTCAAAGCAAACAGTTCCCTGCTGGATTATCGTTTTAACTTGCCAATATTTACCACTCTAATATATATATATATATATATATTAAAAAGCAACCAACCAAGCCTGCGCATCTTGAACCATGCAGGAAAAAGAGGTTGCAGCAGCTGCTACTATATTGTATTTAAATGAAAACCCATAAAGACCAGAAATACATTTTAAAAATAACCTGTTGTGTATCAGCTGCCCTGTAAAGATCAATACGTCGTAGAAAACCTCTGCACACACACGCGTTACTTTAAAAGGCTTTGAACAGCAGACAAACACTAATATAGTCTTAAAAATAATAACCGGTATTAAATTTGATATTTTTGTTGAGGCTTCCATTGCAAAAAGTGGAAGAAAACGTTTGAATATTTAAGAAAATTTGCACGATTTGACTCATTTTGTCACATAGCCGACAGCTTTTTTTAACTTGGTGCGGCCAAAGTGAAACAGGAAGTGACATCAAAGGGGAACTTCCTAGCCTTTGCTTACTGAAACAATAGACTTCTCTTTGTTTCTCTCTCATCGTGGTCCAAGGAAACATCAGATTCTTCTACAGTCTGTGTTGTCAGCCACTGCAGCACCGCTCGGACCTCATGCAGGCCTTCTGACATCACTTCCTGTTACTGCGCATGACAATAGCTCAACAACTGTTCAGCTCAGTGTGAACTTTTGTGCAAAACGTTAACGTCGTCTTTACAGAAATGCATTCATTCATACTTATTTAAAAAAAAAAATGACATCACAGGCACTTGAAATAATTTAGATTCATTTAAATCAGGTCTCTCTTGTAAACGAGTCCTCGTGTCTCAATGAGACTAACCTGCACGAATAAAGGTTGGATGAATAAGTAAATTAGAACATGAAAACTATTAATGCGTTCATCTTTTGTTGAGTTAATGAAACTGTTCAGTTAGATCTTTGGGCTCTGAAAGTGACGAGGGTGAAGATTAATGTTCCCATTCACTCCCATCGTGTTCAGTAACTCTGCACTCCTCCAGTCACGCGTGGCCAGCGCAGAGTTTAAAACAGTTACTTTGAGCATCTCAAAGAAACAACACTCGACTAAACGGTTGCAGTTTGGAGCCCTGCAGAAACTTTGATTTGACAGAAAGTGCTCCGTCACCGAAGCGTCAACATGTCCCACGTTCTTCACTTCACGTCGTTAGTATGTGCTAAACAAATCATCCCGAGGCTAAAAGGTTCTCCGTCAGCAGCGTTTCCTCTTCCTGCTCGTGTCTCATGTCATCACTCACCAAAAGGCTCAAATGAAAATCCAGTGCTGGATATTGAGCAGTGGATTATCTCATATGAAGTGTTATTTTCACAGCTCACCTCCCTGGAGAAAGATTAATAGAGTCATTCCACACCCCAAACAGACAAACGACCTGCCCCATAAAGACTGGGCTTGTTGCTGGTTAATTATCACCCACTGTCAGATCAATGGACCCTCCAACAGGACCATAAATCTGTGCTGGACTCAAGAAGAGCCCATTGTTCGGCTCCGACTGTTAGAGCTCCAGCAGGCCTGGCGGTAAAGGTGGTGTTGGGGTCCTGTGGGAGCGGGTGTGTGCAACTGTACTGGACTGGTATTCTGCTATCGGGCTTTAATCTTCAGCCGCTCTGAACAGAGCTCGGTTCATCCCTTCTCTGGCATTTCTGCTTCTGTTGGGCTTTGTGCTTCGTGCCTTTCATGGTGGCTGCTTCAAAGATGGACGGATGATGCCAACGCTGCGAATTCAACTCCAAGAGCCGCCAAAATGGGTTTGAATATTTATACTATCCTGTTTACGAGTAGCCCTAGCCCTCTGTACTGTCATGACTTCAAATATGCTATGAATTAGCATTAAAAAGGTTGATATATCAAACGATGCACTTTGAAAGAGTTTCGTTTTCTGGATATATTAATATGCAATTGTAAAATGTGGGTCTGCACTCAATGTAAACAAAGCTCTTGTATGAATTTGCCCAAAAAACACTTGGAAGCTTGAGTCACATGACGGACCTACATTAGGCTCAAGTGGGTAAACAAAGATGGCAAAATTTGGCAAGTGTAGACTTTTTAAAAAGACGTTTAGGTGGAAAAATGGGAATAAACCGGCCGCTAAATGAAAAGTGGTAAAGGAAGACAACTATAAAAATAAATACTGTATTTTTCGCCCTAAAATCGCAGTTTTTTTTACATAATGTACGTGCTCTGGGACTTACACGCCGAAGCGACATATTTATAAACCAATTTTTGGATAAGATATGACCGTTTTCATTCATTCTGACTGAAAATATTGAACACTACCAAAGTCCATGCTCAATAATCCAGGTACACAATCCAACATTTTTCAGTCAGGTCATCTGGACAGATTCTTTTTTTTGTGCTGAAACGTTTCGCCTTCGATCCAGAAGGCTTCATCAGTCAAGGAAACACACAACACAAAACTGATTCTTCCTCCAAAGTGGAACAAACCAGTTCTGCTTGTGATAAGATGGTCTCTTTGGTACGCCCCCTCCTCCATTGCCAGCCCTCTTCCTTGTTGACAGTCTTGTCAAACTGGTTGAAAACAACAAAATCCTTTTTTCCAACCAGTTTTCAACCAGTTTGACAAGACTGTCGAAAAGGAAGAGGGCCGGCAATGGAGGAGGGGGCGTACCAAAGACGCCATCTTATCACAAGCAGAACTGGTTTGTTCCGCTTTGGAGTAAGCTGTTGGAGTAAGATTCAGTTTTGTTGTGCGTTTCCTTGACTGATGAAGCCTTCTGGATTGAAGGCGAAACGTTTCAGCACAAAAAAAAAAGAAAAAGAAACTGTCCAGATGACCTGACTGAAAAATGTTGAACACTACCATTTTCAGCCGCTAGATGGCAGTTGAGCTGTATGGCATGCCGTTGTATCATGTAATAGGTAAAAGTGGTTATTAATGATACAACCTGCTTGCCAAAGCTGCCACCTTGTCCAAGAACAACCGTCAAATCAGCTTCATTTCTCTGCGCCGCCCCGGCAAAATGCAGTTGATTTGACCATTAAAGTGCATTTATTAAGTAAAAGTTCAACTGAGACACACCTTTACTATAATTCAGAGTAAACAAATAATTGTTTTTAGGTGTTAATCTTGTTAAATTCTTGTTAAAGTTGTCCCGTGCACGCTCCTGCGGTCGCCATTTGGCAGCCAATCGATTTTTGGCACAACACCGGCCCACGTTTCCAGGTTGTCAGCGGCGACTCATAATAGATGCGACGTATTTATGGATTTTTCCACTTTATTTGACAAATTTGAACTGATGTGACTTATAGGGCGGTGAGACGTGTACGGCAGAAAAATTTGGAATCAGGGATTAGGCAGAAATGTCTTCTATACCATCCGTAAGTTTACCGTTTGAACCTAATTATCTTTTTATCTGCAGACTTCACTCTGAGCAGAAACACAAACCAACACATTAAAACTGTCGGACTTCTCCGTCCCAGTTGGATCATACACGTGTCACCATTCTCGACGTACTCTCAGTCCCTTCAGCTGCTTCCATGAGTACACCGACACTTAGTCGGCAGCTGTTCGCAGATTCTGTAACCAATTTTTAATTTCTGGACACACTGAGCATCAATATGAGAAAAATACTGGGTGGGTTTTGTTCCTTATTTGATGCTTTTCCAGCAAACGACTCTAAACACTTCAGCTTGATAATCGTGATAATTTGTTGCACTTCTTGTTGAATGGTACGCGATGCCTGACTGTACATCACATCCTGCTGGATTCTGGACTTTGAGCATAAAACCACGCGCGTGACAGATTAGAGGTATTGTATCTGGTTTTAGAGCTTCCAGTAAAACGTCACGAAGTCACTAGTAGGAGTCGCTGGATCACAACCAGTTAAACGTTCGGCTGCAGACCTACTTCGCACAAAGAGGAGACAACACGCCCAGAAAACTGAAACTCCATCTGGTCCAAAGTGAGTCCAGGGCTGGATCCATTCCAACCGCACGCTCGTGAAAGTGAAACACAGGCGTGTGTGGGTGGCCTCTGCATATCATCTACTGTCCACAGCCTGCATCAGTGCATCTCAGCCACGTTCTCAGATATGAACACGTGGGGGTCTGACGGTGGCGGCGGGGGCTTTTGAACGTCTCATTCAGGGGGAATCGAAATTCAAAATGCCCCGACTCGTCCAGCTCCAGTCTCCATGGCGACAGCCAGATGTTGTACAGACCAAACCCCCTCCTCTCCCACATCACCGCCGCTTCACATGCAAGCCTTGCCTGAGGCGGGGGGAGTAAAGAGAGGCATCTGTTCCCATTTCCCCCTGCGGCTGCTGAAAATATCCAAAGAGAAACAAAACGCCAGGCTGCACAAAGACTGTTGAGGAAACTGCACGTTCAGTCACTGCTTTGTGTTTTCCATCAAACTAACGAGCCCTCGGTGCTGATAGCTTGACAAGTCATTTGTACCCCCCCCCCCCCCCCCCCCCCCTTTAACATTTCACAGCTATTCCTTGAAGGCAGATGTTCAGAGAACAGCTGTCAAGATGATGATGAACCCTGTACTACAGTTAATTCTCAAATAAAGGAACCCCTGGGGTGGGGAGTCATTAAGAGCCCCCCCCCCCCCCCCCCCCACACACACACTTTTACCCTGGACTTTAATTAGGCATGCAACCAATTAAAGGGAAATTATGTACCTCATGTGTGTCCTGTTAACAAGCAATACATAAAGCAGCATTTATACCCTGGAAACCCAGGAACAAACCAGGCAGTCCCTCAGGGATGATTTCCTGGCCCCCTGTGGGTTTCTCACTGAGCGAATTATTTTTCTTAATTTAAAACAGTCACACTAGTTTAAAAAACTGCTCAGCCATCTTCTTAAAGGCGTCCACGTGAAACACAAAGTCCGGATTTCCACCGTGAACCAGAAGTAGGTCAGTTATTGGAGAAAAGTTCGACTGAACCCGTTTCACCGACAGCTCGTCCGTTAACTCACCTTCACGTCCGGGAGCATCTGCCGCACTTTGAACGTGTTTTTGGATCCGCTCAACATTTCCGAGGCCGATTTAAAAGAAGGGAACGTTGAGCTCACGGAGCGAAGACGTGTAGGAGAAAATTACGCTAACGGTTCTGTTAGCATCCCGAAACTCCGTTCACCGACACAAAGCGACGTTCAGCCCGTAGCACCGGCGTCTCCAGCGGAGGTTCTCGGCGAGGACGAGCAAACTATTTGAGCTCTTCTCATCGCTTTCCGCTCTGACAACATCTACAGCCCGACCACACGCAAAAACACCCCGAGCACGCGCCGCCAGCGGAGTTTGTCGCTAACGGAAAGATGCGTTCACGGCCGCTCCGCCCGTCATCTCCCTCTGTTTGTTTATTCCTTCGCCATAGTGAAGCGCTGAGAGGTGGAAAAAAAAAAAAAAAGAAGTGGACAGCAGCTCCTTAAAGACACAGCACGTCTGAAGCACGAGGCAGTTTATGACCTGGACACTGTCACGTGCAAGTCAAAGTCCACACTCATAACTGAAACAGAAATTAGAATCGTTCACGTTAGTTTTTTTTATTTTTATTTTACGATTTTCCAGAACACATTGAACGGATCACCATTATTAGTGCTGAAGTTCAAGGATGATGTATGGAACCCCTGAAGCGCCAAAAAGTGGGGAGCACCAAAAAATGTTTGCTTCGCTAATCCATATTCCGCTAACTAAAAAAAAAAATTAACTTCGCTAACGCTAAACTGGGGCGGAACGGTGGCGCTGGTAGAGCTGCCGCCTCACAGCGAGAAGGTCGCGGGATAGAATCCTTTGATTCGTCTACCTGGATTAATGAGCATTCATCGGGACAAGAAAACAGTTTTGCAAACCGTGCACACAAAAATAAGCCGTGATTTAAAAAAACTGGACACGCAAACATGCATATGTGTCACAAATACTTGTAGCTTGATGGATTATTATCTCCAGCCACTCTCAGCAGTTCAGTGAGCCAACACCTTTACTCTGCATGACTAAAATGATCCAGTTCTGCTAAAGCTGAGCCAGAAAACCAACATCTGTAAAACAGTCAGAGTTTCAGTGCTGCATTTTAAATGAATAAATACAATTCCTGCTAATGTACCACCAGTACCTTCCTCTGATCCTCAGGTGAGTCCGTACAGGAACCTTTCCTCTTCTCGTCCAAAACAGACAAAAACATATCTCCACCTTCTGAAAAGCACCAGGGGTTCAGTTTAGCTGAAATCCTTTCGCAGGAAGAGAAAGTTTGAGCGACTCTTTGTTCGGCTGAACAGGAGAGACAGTGTCCAGGTGAGCTTTAATAGAGAGGTCTGGATTTTTTTTTTTTTTTTTAACCACATGGGAAACTGTTTAATGTTGCATCAGAGGGTCGGATTTCTCTGATACATAAAACAGTCCTGGACACAGGACCTTCATCATCTGAGCTGGAGTTATTCACTGATGCATAATGCAGCGAGGTTAAGATAATACGCGATGACAGAGGCAACAAATGGCTCCTAAAGACTGGGGCACACGACAAATGTCTCCTTACGTTTGAAAATGTTTGATCTCCAGTTTTAGCTCCTCTCCATTGACCCCCTGTCAAATTCAAAATTGAATTGAAAATCTTACTTCTAACCTACAAAGCTCTCAACAACCTAGCTCCATCTTATATTTGAAATCTTATTGTTCCATATGAACAGAGCACTTCGCTCTCAGACTGCAGGTTTACTCGCGGTCCCTAGAGTTTCCAAAAGCAGAATGGGAGGAAGATCTTTCAGTTCTCAGGCTCCTCTCTTCTGGAACCATCTTCCAGTTTCTGTCCGTGAGGCTGTCCAGTTTTAAGACTTTCCTTTTTGATAAATCCTATAGTTAGGGTTGGTTTGTTGTGCTGCTAGGCTTAGACTAATAGAGGACAAATTGACCACATGTCCCTAAACGAATTGTTAAAATTGAATAGTTTTCATTTGATACTATTTCTATCTTAACATGTGATTCTTGACCTGCCATTGTGTATCTGTTCTTACCAAACGCAGCCGGTCGAAGCAGATGGTCCTCTTGTCCTGAGCCTGGTTCTGCTAAAGGTTTCTTCCTCATGAGGGAGTTTTTTTTCCCACTGTCGCCTTCATGCTCGCTCAAGCTGAGAGTTCAGTGATGGAGTTAAACTCAAAGTTGCTCCTCAGATAAATAAAGTTAAATTATTATTTTTATAGATGAATGTTTCTGTTCAGTCCCTGAGACAGATGTTGTGACTTGTCACTTTATAAATAAACTGAATTTGTTTGGAGAAAATCGATTTAAAGAAGCTCTTTATCGTCTACTGATTTAGGCAGTAAATATTTTGCAAACGTCATGCAGATGTTTCCTGGTGATGTCATCTTTTAAAAATGATCAACCCAACACCCCGTAAAGAAACATGTTGCGAAGGACTCTCAGCTACTGCCACACTAACCTTAAGCTCAGAATCTCTAAAACTGAAAAACAAGATATTTTTGCGTTAAGGTTTATTAGCCGTGGCGGCCATATTGAATTGGCTCCAAAAGTTAATCAGCTGTGCATCCAATGATCAATTCTTAAAATCCCGGCAGTCGTTGAAATAATCTAATGGTTGTCCTCAGGCTGGTTTGGTGAGTAGCAAGCGGCCATCAGACCTTTAACAATTGATCGTTATGCACTGATGATCGATTGTTTCGATCGGTCATCTCATTTTGCATGTAACGCCAGTTTCTGGGACTTTCACATCAGGCTGCCTCGCAACACGTCAGTAAGGTGCTGTTTATACGACAGACTTTGTTGGCAGGCCTCAGACTGAACACGTCTTTCAGAAGAAGAAGAAGAATCTGTGCAGAGGACATGATTAAATACATTTTTATATTTTTAAAAACAAAGTTTGCAGCCAAGTAAACCCAAATTGTGCACCTTAAGTGAACTTTCAATTACATTTTATTCGCTGCACAGCAGCAGAAGTCAGTGGATTAAAAAAGGAGCAAAGAAGCATCGGGTTGTTGAAATACAATGATAATTTATTCAAACGGTGCAAAAAAATAATCATATTAATATTAACCTAACATAAAATCTGACGTTCTGTCCATCCAGATTGCACTCACACAGCCTCGGGACTTTCCTCTCTGGAAAGTAAAGTCAAACCAAACAAACACGAAGAAAAACAAGTCAGAAAAATGCACTGATTTGGTCAAACGGTTTGCAATTTACATGCGACAGTTCCAGTCCCATGCGACTCCCGAGCGCTTCGTGTTGCTGACGATGAATATTCTGCTCCTGGCGGCGTTGTACGATATATAAAAATATACGGAGTCAGTTCTGGTTGGAGTGGAGCTTCAGAGCAGCGTGGACCGACGGCTGCAGAGGTCTGAACGCAACAAGACGAACGCATTTCATCGAGGTGACAAATAAAAAGTCAGACGGTGAGAAAGAACATCGTAAATCAGGGTTATTCATCTGAACTGCTCAGGGGCCACAGTTACTGAGAGCCGAGAGCTCAGGGGCCGGACATCCAGCAGTTATTCTCATTAAATAAGCTTGTTATTATTTAAAATCTACCGTAATTTCCAGACTATAAGCTGCTACTTTTTTCCACACGCTTTCAACACCACGGCTACAATGCTTCGGCTAATTTGTGGATTATTTATTTATTTATTTAATGGCTAACAAGCTTCATGCAGCCAAAACATTTAGCCTCGTCACACAGCTGCCCAATACACGGCTCTCTTAGGGGGTGGGTCCTCATGACTCAATGAGACTACCTGTAAAGGTAAAAAAAAACAACTGACCAATGAAATGATCGAACAGGTCCCAGAGGAGCAATGAACTGGTCCACGGGGGAAACCAGTGTAAATATCTCATGTTACAACGTGGACATCAAGATGAGTGCGGTCTATTTGTGTACAAAGTTTTTACTTTTAAATTTAGTGGGCGCGGCTTATATTCAGGTACGCTCAATAGTCTGGAAAATATGGTAGTTTTATTTCAAAATGAACCCATTAGTGGGCCACATTGAGCACTCCCGTGAGCCTGATTTGGCCCCCGGGCCTCCAGTTGAACAGCCCTGTCGTAAACCATCTCAACGAAACGTATAAATATATCAATTCTCAAATCGTCAGGTCAGAAAGGAGGAACTTTATTTGCAGTGAGAGACTCAAGTATGTAAAGGCCCATATTGGGGGGGGGGGGGGTCTTCAAAAGCAAAATATGTCAATGAATGGAAACTCTGCCCCAAAATCCAGATATACATTCTTTTAAAAAACACTGTAAAACTTTGGGCGTACAAAAATAACTTGGAACATATTTATACAACCTTTCAAGCGTTCGTTTTTATTCTTAAATACAAAAACAACAACAAAAAAAAAATAGAACAAAGAAAACAAAGTTTGCAGCTTGTAACGTTCGACGCTTTTTGAAGAAACCGGTTTCATCGCTGAAAAAAAAACCAACAAACAAACAAACAAAAAAAAAAACGGATCGTTTGTAACCTAATTATAGGTTTGGAGGAAAGAAAAGCTCACGACACGTTTTATTTAAACTAAAACAGGCAAATATTCCCAAACCAACGGCTCTCAACACATTCACACAGCAAATGTTTGTTTTTTTGGTGGGGGGGGGGGGGGATAATTAGGAGCTTTACTGTGACTTGTGAATGCACGGCAGAAAAACTTCAAGTTTCTTATTGCAGCTTTAGCAGCGAGGGAGTTTCTGTAGTGAAACAGTGTTTAAATAACACTTCTGAAAATGATTCCTTATTATTTCTGTTGAACCAAACTGGTTAAAAAAGGGGAAAGAACAAGACAAGAGCACCCTCTGGTGGCCAAGGCAGTGGATTGCATATTGTATTGTGCTTTTCTAATACCTCAATAAAAATGAAGGAGCAGAGCAACTTTCATCCTCAAAGTTCACATCATGGCTTGTATCAGGGAACAGGATTACAGCTTTACTTTAGCCGTTACTACAACAAAACAGTCTTAAACGTGAAGCAACCAGGAAGACGCCAACAAATCAGCTCCTATTTCAAATTATAAATAATCCAAACTGGAAATAATTATATTATTTCAAACGTGTCAACACGAACGTACGCACACCTCGGTGTCAGTAGTGAAAACTGCAGGCAGTGAAGCAAACAGTTCGCAGAAGGGAAAACCTGCTGTAAAGGCCAATTAGGACGCTGGGTTTACTGGAAATGACACCTTCCAGTTTGTGCATTTTAGTCCACTTTAAACAGAACTGGCAGTGGCTGCAGAGACGATCATAGGAAGAGAGTTTTGAATGAACGGACGTCAGGAAAAGTGCTTGAACTGTGCAAAACATGAGGGAACTTGGTGGCAAACCGATAAAAACACAAAACTGCAAATGAAAATCTAAACAACTCTCGGACTGTTTGGAACATGTTGGAGGTGTTTAACGAGGGTTCGTCATCAGAACTGAGGAAAAAGTGCCTCGTCACGTGAAACAAACAAAAAGACACATTTGTATGAATAAATCTGGCAAACATCCTGCATGGAGAACGTCTAAAAACCTAAACTCGAGTGTTGATGCTCTTTTTTCAGATGTACGGTGCGATTGGAATATTACGTTTTTTTTATATGTCTTTTTGGTGCATCTAAAAAAAAAAAAAAAAACTGTTGCATCGGACACCAAGTCGTTCTCATGCCACATGAAAACATCAGCTGCATTTAATAAAACGGAGAACAGCAGATGCTGCTGATCAGTTTGCTTCACATTATAAACAGCTTTCCTTCACTCTGCTTTAAATATCCAATTATTCTTGAAAGTTTGTTCATTTCGTCAGAAACGTCTTGTTCCAGATAAATGATTCCGATCAAACACGCACGTTTCCAAGGTCGGAAATCCTGAACTCAGTGACTACACTCACGAGCAGCGCCGTAGTGCCGCTGAGCACGACATGGAAGAGCAGAACGAAAAGCTACACTGGACACACACAGGCAGGTAAATTTGTTTGTCATCTCTTGTCAAAGAAAGAAAAACCTGAAAAAGGACATTCAAATGAATTAAAAGTAAATTAAAAAGTATTACATGATGGTTTTTAAGTTGTGCTTAAAAATAAATAAATAAATAACAAAATTAATTAAACTGGACTTGACAAAAATGAAGAGTATCAAAACATTCTGGATCAAAATGTTCTGCTGTGTCAGAAAGACTGGTCTCAGTCCATGGGTCCTCCAGCTGGACAATGACCCAAAACCAACAACTAAAACCCCCAGGAATGGATCAGAACCAAACAAAGGACTGTTCTGAAGTGTCCTTCTGAGTCCTGATCTCAATCCTGCTGAACATCTGTGGAAGGAGCTGAAACATCTGGAGCAGATGGATCTTTCAGGTCTCTCTTGTAAATGAGTCCCAGAGGTTCAGTGGGACCAACGTGTTTAAATAAAAGGTTGAAAGAATGATCAAGAGGAGTGGACCAGATCACCTGATGAGGACAGGTGGACCAGATCACCTGATGAGGACAAGTGGATCAGAACACCTGAGGACAGGTGGACCAGATCACCTGATGAGGACAAGTGGATCAGAACACCTGAGGACAAGTGGACAAGAACACCTGAGGACAAGTGGACAGAACATCTGAAGACAAGTGGACAAGAACACCTGAGGACAAGTGGACCAGAACATCTGAAGACAAGTGGACAAGAACACCTGAGGACAAGTGGACCAGAACACTTGAGGACAGGTGGACAAGAACACCTGAGGACAGGTGGACCAGATCACCTGAGGACAGGTGGACCAGATCACCTGATGAGGACAGGTGGACCAGAACACCTGAGGACATGTGGACCAGAATACCTGCAGACAGGTGGACCAGAACACCTGTGGACAAGTGGACAAGAACACCTGATGAGGACATGTGGACCATATCACCTGTGGACAGGTGGGCCAGAAAACCTGAGGACAAGTGGACCAAAACACTTGAGGACAAGTGGACAAGAACACCTGAGGACAGGTGGACCAGAACACCTGTGGACAGGTGGACCAGAACACTTGTGGACAGGTGGACCAGAACACCTGAGGACAGGTGCAGAGGTCTCAGAGTTAAAGACGTCACTTGGTTGCAGTGACTGATGGTACCACCTTATTGTCAAGGCCAGTTTCATTAGTTTTTGTATTTTATAATTCAACTGAACCAAAGTTCAAAAGCAACGACTCATTTTCATTAATCAGGAATTATTTGATCATTTTGTCAGTTTCAAGTTATTTCAAAGATCTTTTAGTTTTATTTTTCTTTCTTCAACAAATGAAGATAAACTTATTTCCTCACGTGTGTCTGCTGGTCTTGATCATCAAACGACTAAAACCTCCATAGCTCAGATGAAATGAACTGTAAACGTAGATGATTAGTGAGAGTGCAGGGCTGGACATCTTTGTGTTTGCATTCTGAAGGAGTATCAGCACGGCAGCAGCTCACACGACCTTTAACTCGGAGCATCAAACAGTAGTTTCAGTTTGCACAAGGGTGACGTGATGTTTGAGGTACACGTGACGAACATTATTAGTGTAACGGTTAAATCTGACAAAACGGCCAAACACAACGTTTGTAGTGAAGACCCTCGACACTTTTCGGTTTGTGCTTTCATCGCTGCGAGTAGTGCCCGAGCGTGAACGATGCACCCAACGAGTGCGCCGTTCTGCCGTTTACATTCGCTCCACCAGGAGACAGTAGCAAGGCGTTCAACTCTTACAAAGGAAGAGTACACACACGCACACACGCACGCACGCACGCGCGCAAAAGAGCCACAGCAAAATGTAACCGATGTGCAGTTATTTATTCTACGGTGGAACATGTGACCGTCAGCAGCGAGAACCCACCCTGTCGTCACGGAAACAGGAAGTGACAGTTCAAAATAAGAAGAGGGAGTCCGCTGCCTTTGTTATTATCCGTTTAGAGGCGGAGCTACCCCCCCCCCCCCCCCGAAACACAAAAAGGCCACTCTTCAAACTAAAGCCACAGCGAGGTCTGTTCAGAACCTGTGGATGGCGAGTTCTGTCTCCCTCTTCTTCAGCTCCTCCCGGTAGCAGTAGGAGCAGTAGTTCCCCGTCTCGGGGTGTCCGAAGTAGGTGCAGGTGGGTGTCCGACAACGGCTGGGCTGCAGGCCGGACAGACCGCCTGCGCTGCCCAGTGAGTAGTGTCTGACCGGGGGCAGCCCGCTGCGCGAGTCCAGGCTGGAGCTCATGTCCCGGAAGCCGTTGGTGTAGCCCCCACCAGCGAGCTCAGCCCCGGGGTAATCGGGAGGGTCAAACTCGGGGTAGGACGGCGCGAGGCGAGACGGGCTCAAGGAGGAGGTGTCTTGGGATATGTTGTACTGGGGGTGGGAGGGACCCTGTGTGGTGGGGTAGTGCCGGGGAAGGGTGGCGTACGAGGGGAGGCCGGGGTAAGAGGTTGCTGGAGCACCGCCAGCTAGTAGGCGGCGTGTATCCAAGTGGCCGTGCATGTGAAGGTGTTGGGTCAGAGGTGCAGCCGGGGGCTGCTCGATGAAGGAGGGCCGGGGGATGGGCACTACAGCAGAGTACATAGAAGGACTCAAAGGAGTTGGGTTGAAGGAAGGTGACAAGTTCTCTGAAAGCTCCTCTTTGGCTTCGTAGGGTCGATAGCTCAGCTCCGAACCACCTAGAACCTCCTTCTTAGGAGGCTGGACGCTGTTGGCGATGCCTTTCCTCTCGGCCTCGCGACGCTGCTGCTCTTGCTCCGTTCGAAAGCGCTCCTCTGCATCGGCGAGGTAGCGGTGGATCATCTCCTCCTGGAAGGGCTGTCGGTTGCTGGTGGTGAGAAGGCTGGCGAAGATGAGCTTCCTCTCACCTTGCATGGCGGCGCGCAGGATGCCCAGGCTGACCTTCACGTCTGAGCTGTACTTGTAGTTGTCGCTCTCCGTGCTGCTCCCGCCGCTGCTGCTCATGCTGCTCATCGTCCCGAGGAGCCGCTCGCTTCCTGAGGAGGGGGAGCCTTTCCCAGAATCCTCTGAGGCTTGGGTGGAAGGAGAGCTGTCCTTGCTGCCCTTCCTCCCCCTAAACGAACCCTTCTTCTTCTCCCCACCTTCCTGCTTGGCACCTCCTGCTGCGGCGTTCTTTCCGGTCATCAGACCACCCACGTTTTTCTTCAGCTTGCTGCCGAGGCTTTTGCCAAAACTTCCAAGCTTGTTGGCCACAGAGTCTGCCCTTTTCTTGTCTTTATCTTTATCTTTCTCCTTCTTAGTTTTGTCCTTCCCCCCTGACCCAGTTCCTGCAGATCCACTGCTGGATGAGCTGGAAGAGGAGGAGGAGCCATTTTTGGCCACAGACCCACTCCCATTAACAGTTGGTGCTGTGGTTGTGTCTCCGTTGCCGTTGGAGCTGCTGCTGACGGACTCCTTGTCTGATTCTCCTGAGTCAGGAGGCGTCCGGGCGTCCTCTCCTGCCAAAGCTGTGGGAGACTCCGGCTGAGCCAGAGGGGCTTGCTGCAGCGAGACAAAGCAGAGAACCAAGCCTGTCAAAACATACAACAGAACAGATCTGCTGTCCAAAACTCGTAGTGATGACTCAAAACGATCTAAGTTTAGTTCCGTTTGTGTGCAAGAAAACACAACTTATGCTTTAGAATAAAGAAATTAAAAAGAAAACTGTGAAAAGAGATGATCTTATGGTTAAAGGTGGTATCTCACTGGGCTGCATCTTGTTGGCTAACGGCATTCATGAGGGCATTTTCCAAACATCTCGCAACTTTACACAGTCCCCAACTTTACACAGTCCCCCAACTTTACAGTCCCCCAACTTTACACAGTCCCCAACTTTACACAGTCCCCCAA